ATATAAGACAAAAAAAGAACAAAACCTTCTTCATAGATCACATGAAGATCACATAGATTCACATCAGGAGTTATTGATTCAGACATGAAAAAGGTATCCAAAAGTCTGCCTGTTTTTTCCAAAACTACTAGTTAATTTACAAGATGCCACCTCCCACAACAAATATTCTCTTTGCAATAATAAAAAGGGCAGTCTTAGTTTTAGGTACTATCTGTGAGCATTTTACACAGCCTGAGTGAGCAGAAAATCCTTTTGCTTCCCCTCAGATTTCTCTATGCAGATTGCCTGGTTTTATTTCTGCCTTTTTTTTTTTTTTTTTTTTTTTTTTTCTTTAGTATTATTCTGGCACAGGACACAGTAGTATAATTTTCACAGACACAAAACCTTCTAGATGTGCTTCTCCCAAATACCATGAATAGCACTGGGGCATTATAATGATACTCATCCTCTATGTCGATGGTCTCCAAATCTTTTTATCGTGTACCTTGTCAGTAATAACTTTTTGAGCAGGTACTCCTCATAATGTAATTTTTTTTTAAGTATACACATGTCGTACCACACCAATACATAATGTACATTATAAAACATCCACAAAAATATGAATTAAAAAAGGATGAGATAAATTACCAGAAACAATAATTAATATTTTATTATTAAGTGTACAAAAATATTTTCTTCCTGCACTGAATTTTGCAGATGGCTGCTTTCAACATGAAACTATTTCTGTCTATCCTGATGCATTGCCTCAGTGGCCACATTTTACCTTAATAGGTTCCACCCTTTCCTATTTGTTGAGGGATGAAACTTCCATTGGTCAGCCTTCATGTGGTTGCCCCTGAACATGCCTTTAACTACCCACAGAATAATAGGAGAGTTTCAGCCGATTTAGTACAGGTTTTTTGATTTTTTTCTTTTTAAAATTAGGTCTGTTTCTTACATGGTTTTTAAAGTAAAATTATTCAGAAACTACTACACTTTATTTTACAGCCAAATGAACTTCTGCACTTCTCAACATTTATCACTATTAGTAATTTACAGATACGCAGCTTATTTTATCTAGATGACTGTGCTTATATAAAAGTGCATGTATGAGTTGGAATAAAATGACATTTAAACTATCAGTAAAATAGAGGGTAAAAAACAACAACAACAACCAAAAAAAAAGAACAAAAAAGTAAACAACCCAAAAAACCAAACCCATACCTTGCTACCTGAAATACTTCAATTGCAGAAATTTGTAAGGGGGAGGTGGTGTGTGTAACAAAGAAAATCAGCAACACTGCTTACTTCCTGCACAGGTATTTTCCCCACAAATTGTGACTGCCTACCACAATTAATGTATCACAGGCAGTGCAGAACCCTGAACAAAGACATGAAAGCATTTCCCTTGCTGCTGTTGGAAATACCTCCACATTCCTATGAGGAAGATTTGAGGAATGATGCAAACTCTGACCTGGCAGATCTCACAGGTGCATTTGGGAGAGGCAGAACCATCAGAGAAACACCCAATTTAAAGCAGATCTGGCCAAATGCAGGGCCACCATCACAATACCTGCCCTGAATATCTGGTTCTCAGGTTCAAAACTACTCAGCACCCAGAAGCTTCATTTTTTTCCAGAACTGCATCAAGGGCTGGACAAGATGGGTATCCCAAATGGCAGGACATACACCCGAGCCAAACCAATAGCTGGTTGTTTCAGAACAGAATTTTTTTTTGGGAAAATAGTTCACATGTATCTGGTGAAGCCTGGGAGGAGGAGAATGCTGTGGAAATATAGGACTAGGATGTGGAGAGGATGGAGTCTGTCCTCCTGAGCTTTCTGGAATATCTATGCAGGATTGTTAGGAGAGGAATTTCCATGTACTCAGTATTTTTGATAGCTTGGCTCTGTCTCAGGAAGAAGAACTATGGAAGAGTAAGACCCTACATGATGCTGTAAGTGAATCACTATCCCATAAAAAACACCCCAGACTACTGACAAATATGGCTGCTGCTGCTCCACTCAGATAACTATAGATAACTTTATTATTCATAACAATGCTTTGGATTATCTTCACAAATCTTCTGTGTCGACATGCAGTAACATCCCTACATCTACTTAGAGCATTCAAGATATACACAGCAAATTCAGTAGAGCAGAGTTGGTTCCTGTTGGAAAAGGTTTACTATTTACTTTTTTTATTTTAGTGAGTAAGGCTATTAATCTAAAGGGAGACAACATAGTGGGGAACCACAAACACAGGAATACACAGACATAAACGTATCTTTACGATGACTTTAAGCTTTTTTAAGTTACTCGCTTTTTTGTTTGCTCTGAGATGGAGAGGGAAGGAGTGAATTTTAAGAAGTATGAAGTAATGTGCAATGGAGGGAAGAGAAATTTGTGTCTGCAAATCTAATGCTTGCAACTACTTGTAAGCTGTTATTTTCGAACTGCAGAGTAAAATAACACATAGATCCACCTTTGCAAGAGAGGCAGAACTAGTGTAGAATTGACTGTAGGTTTCAGCTGGTCTCCTGCTCGAGTACTTCTTGGAAAAAAACAGAAACCAAAACAAAACGAAACTAAAACACATTCCTGGAAGCAGCAATAAGCAAAGATCACACAAAATTCACCTCTGCACTGAATTCATCAACCATCATTTTTGTAAAGTGTAAGCTACTTGGGCACTTTTACACAAGTCTTGGCTGAAAACTCAGTGTATTCTTTGTACATTTCAGACGGTGAGAGGATGATTTTTAGCCTGTGTTTTCTTGTAGGTGTACACTTGATGTTGCTTGCATGCCAATTGCAATGTCCTCAATGCAACCTGATTTTAAGAGTTTTAGGAATTTGGTTCTGTGCTTCCTTCTCCCAGCTTTGCCAGGGAAGAAATAAGCTGGCACACAAATCCATACCATAACTGACCACTGACAAATCTCTCATAAAGAAAGAGAATTGCAGCAACAGTACCTACTCACTGAAATCACCACAGAAGAGACTCCTACATTTCATTGAAAGTAAGAATTTTGTTTTAGGCAATCAGGTGCAGGAGATTACTTCTAGAATAACAAGAAGGCATTTTACAAATCTATGGAGTTTTCTTTCTCTGACTCATGAGTGAACTAATTAAACAGAGTCACTCCCTCTTGCTTAGAAGAGGATATAATGATTCTAAGGTGAATGCTTGCAACCCACTCTGACATGGCAGGAAGATGATTTTTAGCCTGCTATTCATTACAGGTTCACATTTACAGATGTAACATACAAATCAATAATCTTAACTGGGGTGTTTTTATACCCCTTGGTCCTTTTTCAGAGTTTGTGATGGCTGAACTACACTCACTAACTTAGTGCTTACACATTCCATAGCTGGAGTCCACTAGTGACCTACAGCTAGGAAGGCAGTTGTCTCTAAGTGGGTACTTATTAGATATCAGCATATCTACACATAAGCCAGTGGCCAGCTAAATACCCTTCCATCCAGCAGCCACTCGTTTCACAGCTGCTTCTGCTTTTCCAGGTGCCTGGAAGTTTACCAGGCAACCTGTTGCACATAACCTGAGCACTGGCAGAGTGAATCTGAGTGCATCCAGAGTGCACTGGAGGGTCTAACGTGCTGAGCATGAAATTTGGAGTTGCTCTTTGCATGTGGAGACATGTAAAGATACAATCTGTCTGCCCAGGGATGGAACATGCACCAGGAGGCGATTTCTTCAAAGCTTTGAGAATCCTGGAGGCTTGCCTGGTTGTGAACACGCAGGTGGAAGGGAGAGGAAGGAGAAAATGAATTCATTTTTAGAAGAGAGGAAGGATGATGAAGACCAATAGTGTAGGTTTCAAATTAGTGTGCACTGACAAAGCTGTAATGAATTCAGTAGTTTTAAAAATGAGTATTTCTGTTTGATTTATGCAACGCTGAAAGGGCTGTCTGTAAGGTAAGTCACAGCTGGAGCAATACTGATACTGCAAATGAAAGATGAAGGAAATCAGAGCCCATTAAGACAAGTGAGTGCTGTATATAAGAACGGTTCAAGAGCCATGCAGGCTGTGCAGACAGAAGAAGGAACAAACCACTGCTCTAGAGACCAGGACTGCGGCTGTGTGGGGGATGGGAGCATCAAGTCACGTTTCAAAGGACGGAAAACTATACAGCATATTGTAGCTTTGTTCTCAAAGTTTCTAATACATTCCTAAAGTTGGGTGTGGAGAATCCAGGTCTAGGGGAATTGGTGGAGCTGCAGGGCAGGAAGGGGCACTGGCCGGGCAGCCAAGAGCAGCCAATTTAAAATAAATTCAGTAAGACTGCAGCTAATAAATATGGTTTGGCTTTTTGTAACCTTACTTCTACTTTCATTGTAATGAAAAAAGTAGCAAAGCATTACTAGAAATGTTCTTTGTTGTTGTTGTTGTTGTTGTTGTTTTATACCCTGTATCTGGGACTGATAAAGAACAACCAGCTACAGGGCAGAATGGATATAGGAGTTTTAAATATTTCTCCCTATATATATTCATATGAGAGAATTACTTTCAAACAGAAAGCAACAATCATAAAGAGTCAAGAAAGTAAAAATTTCCAAGCCTCGGGAAAGTCAAACTTGCCCTAACAAGCAGTTTATACAAAATGTTTTGAAATATAGATAAAGGTTGGGGCACCTGAATTCACTATTCTAAATGTTCTTATAAGCTGGTACAATCTCACATTTCTTCAAACAGAAAAGTACAGAATCTCATAACCTACCTTTCCTCCACCTGAAAGAAAAGGAAAACCTGAAGCTGGAAAATGCAAAATCGAAATAGAATCAGTAAAACGAAATCTGATTTTTAAAAAAGCCACAATGCATTTATTCTGAAGGCAGGGGTTTGACTCATCAGATATTTTTGTTGCTTGTTCGTTGCCTATGCAATTGGTTGAAAGTGTACAAATTACCTCCCCACAAAACCGCTTTTCTGCTCCTCCCCGCTCTTCCCCTCCTCCCCACTCACTGATAAAATATTTTTAAAGACCTGGAAGGGGAGGGTAGGGGAAGCTCAGAGCCTCCCTCAGAGAAAGGATGAGGACAGCTGGGTCAGAAATGGAACTGCCCTCGCTGTCGTCCATGGCTACAGTCACGTTCAACTACGACTACTACTACGATGACCAGTGCCAGTACCAGAACCTGCAACATATGTCTACTTTCCTGCCTATCCTTTATAGTGCCGTGTTCCTGGTGGGCATTGTTGGCAACTCAATCCTGATAGCAGCCTTGGTCTTCAAGCGACGGGTCCAGAGGCTGATTGACATCTTTATCATCAACCTCGCTGCATCTGACTTCATCTTCCTCATCACGCTGCCTTTCTGGGTGGACATGGAGGTGTCGGACGAGAGCTGGAGGGTAGGATCTTTCCTCTGCAAAGCTAGTTCCTATGTCATCTCAGTCAACATGTACTGCAGCATCCTGCTCCTCACCTGTATGAGTGCTGACCGCTACCTCGCTATCATGCACCCCTCTGTCGCACGGCGGGTCAGGACAAGATTCTATTCCAGAACACTCTGCATCTGCGTCTGGCTGTTATCCTGCTGCTTAGGCGTGCCGACCCTTTTGTCCAGAGAACTGAAGATGCAATATGGAAAGACTTACTGCACAGACACAGCCGTGACAGAAGTCAAACAGATCATGTCACTGATGCTTTTAATCCTAGCCTTCTTCTTCCCACTGTTGAGTATCTTAACCTTTTACTGCTCCATCACCAAAAGACTCTGTGTGCACTATCAGAAGGCTGGGAAACATGATAAGAAGCTGAGAAAATCCATCAAGATCGTCTTCATTGTAGTGGCAGCTTTTGTTGTCTCCTGGGTTCCTTACAATCTTTTCAAGCTTATGGCCATCCTTTTACGACTCCTAAAGCAGCCCGACTGTTTTTCTGGCACAGTTGCCCAGCTGGGCATGAAGGTGAGCAGCCCTTTTGCTTTTGCCAATAGCTGTGCCAACCCTTTCATTTACTTTTTCTTTGACAACTACATCCGCAGAGCCATGCTCCGGTGCCTGTGCCCACAGGTGAAAATCAGCAGCAACAGCTCTGATACCCTGGACACCCACCTGAGCCATTCCTTATCCAATTTTGTGGCAGGGGAGTATGCCACCAGGAAGAGAAAGCGCTCTGTGTCCCTCTGACTGCGAGCTGGGACTGCTAAGGAAGGAACTTCTTCTCCCAAAGACAGCAGGAAAAGAAAAGGAGAAACAAGCAACAGAGGCAAGTGTAATGCAACCAGTGCTTCAGGTGGATGTTGCTGCCTTTTAAATGCAGATAGATGGAAACTTTAACCACAGAATTACTTCACAGTGGTTGCTGTGACAATGCATGGTGTGAATGTGACACCATCATACCAAGAAATAGCTACAAATGCTTATACTGGAACCCCAATTCAAACTCCAGAAAAGAACATGTGATTCAGTCAAGGCCTCTCTGGGACAAGCTTTGAACTTATGTGTACATAGGTTTTTATTCTGTGCAAGAAAAGCAACCTGGGTGTTTCTTTTTGGTTCCTAGGTTGCCCACAAATAATGCATGATGTCCTCAAACCAACCTGATTGATTCTGGAATTTTGGAGGTTTTTTGAACTCAAAAATCCAATATTTTAATGAATTTGTGTGTTACCAGTTGTCACAGCTTGAGTTGTGTGCATTTTAAATCTCAGCTTCTTAATACAGCATTAAATCTTTAGTTTTAATTGTAATAATTTAAGTGTTTAGCCCCTTGGATTTCAGAAAAAAACAGAACTTGAAGGCAAAGAAACCAGGAGAAAAGCAAAACCTTGCATTTTAAACTTTCTCTTAAAGAAAACAAGACCAACAAAAGCACACTTGTGCTTTTTAAGACATTTTTTTGAGGACCTGATAAAATTTCTGATCGCTTGAGTCAGAACTAAAGCGTCACTGCCTTCAGTGTACTTCAGAGTTCATCCAATCTACAAGACTTTAAATCATTCTAGTTAGAGCTGCTGGTTTCTTTCTTTCTTGTTTTTTAATACTTCAAAATACCAGATCGAATTGGAAAAATTACTAAGGAACTCCACCAACGTCTCATGTCTAAAGCTTTAGTTTCTGGAAATAACAAATCAATTTGATAAATATTGTCAGGCTTTAGGAGAATCACGTATAAATGCCACAGTGAATGCTCCACATGAACAAATAATTTAAATATATGAGGTAACTCATTCAGCAAAGGAAAACCTGCCAGATTCTTTCAGATTTTCATCCAAATTAGTATAACTTATTTTCTTGTGAACTGCAGGTCATTTGACACTTTCATGACATGGTAAATATTATTTCAATCTTTTTTTTTTTTAAGAAAAGAAACCTATACTTGAACAGCTTTACCTCAGGAACTTTTACTATTCCATGTTAACATTTATTATTTGTTTGTTGGCATTTACATATCTTAGAATGATGCTGAAATTATTGTGATTGAAAGTATTTAATGTGGTAGGCTTGAATAATGTAACAGGATGACTATTTTATCCATGTTAAAAGAATTGAATTACAGTGAATTGGTTTGCTATGTAAAGTGGAAATAGTGCAATTCTGATATGACACCTGCAAAGACCTTGGCAAGTAATTTGGATTGGGCTTTTTTCCTCCCACAACTTTCATTATTTTAAAATCAATTCAGTAAGACTGCAGCTAATAAATATGGTTTGGCTTTTTGTAATCTTACTTCTAGTTTCATTCTCATGAAAAAGTAGCAATGCATTACTAGAAAATCTGTCAGTGAGTCTGGATGGGAACATTCACCTGCCCATCCCACAATCATTTTCATTATTTCAGAGATTCTTTTATATTACCTTAGAATTAAATCAAGACCTTTTGAGGTTTTTAATGAAAACAAATACAACACCAGTACCATCCCAAATCTAGAGGTTGGTGCACTTTCTTGAGATGTGCACAATTAAAGCTGAAGTGACTTTTCTTCTTGATATAAATCAGGATCCTGTTATATACATCTCTTGGTCTCTATTTTGGCTTGATTGAATCAGCAGTTTTCATAAATAACATATTTCATCTCAACACAAATAATAATTGCAACCAGACCTGATAGTTGCTTAAATAGGCAAAGAATTTTTGCCCCCTTAATTTCAGCAGCAGATGTGCTAACACTGACAGCTGCTCTACAGCTAAATGGAACTTCGTGTTGCAGAGGACTGAGAGAAAGTCACACAGGGAATAGTTTCAGACCCAAAATAAGCAGGGCAAACTTACAGCCCTCAAAACAAGAAGAGTGGTGTAGTCACTGTGTGAACTGACCCTCCACAAGTAATGCAGTGAAGATTGGCTCTTGGAAGCCAAGAGGAGAACTTCCACTGACTTAAATGCGTCCAGATTTCATCTGCAGCTTCTTGTCCTGGCTCCTTTGGACTGGTTGGATGAAAAGCCCTGGCAGCCTGTCTGTGCCTCAGGTTTTTAATAGGGTGGACTACAAAAAGAACATTTCCTGACTTTGAAGCAATGTTGCAATGATGTATTTGTTGCCTGCTACGCAGGGACAGGAAGGTCTTTGACAAAAGAAGGTTGGGATTTTCTCTTCAGGTGCTTGCAGGGCATACTGTGCAAAGAAATGTCCTCATGGGTGAGGACACTTACACATGCTCCTAACAGATACACTGTTACTACTGGAATACTAATTTTTCATCCCTGCAGGATCACTTACATTCGTGAGGTCAGCAGGAATTTGTGAGCAGATGTGCAAACTGTGAGCACAAATCATTACATGTCCTCAAATGTCTGACTGAAACACTTGGACTCAACGCTCTTAAAGGTCTTTCCCAAACAAAATGGTTCTATGATTTTTCTCTGGCTTAAAAGGCTTCAACCAGTTAAGGAGGACATTTCACGGGAAGTGAAGAACAGAAAACAGAGACCCACAATCCTGCAATGAAAAATCCATCACCTCGGGCTATTTACCAAATATGTCAGCATTCTGCATATTGTCAGAGAAAGGGATCAGCTCATGAACAGAAACAAAGAAAGAGCTACCTAAATCCACAACGGATGGAAACTCTCAATGAGTTAAATGGCCTCAGAAGTAATTGCAATATACCAAATGTCACACACAGAAGTGCCTAGGAACCTCTAGAAAACCAGAAAGGGCCCAAGATATCTCATCTAACATTTTAATATTGTACCACAAAGCCTGCAAGTAGTGCACTCTAGGTCTCAATAACAGTCCAAGCAGCTGCTCGGTTTGCAGGTACAGGTGTTCAGTACGCTGCTGGAGTCTTGCTGCAAGTGACAGGAGGTTTTGGAATAATCCAGTCTCACTAAATGACTGAGGGGCTTTGGCCCCAAGCATCTGGGCAGCTAAGACTTGAGCTCATGATGAAGTAAAAGAACGCGAAATACGGGAGATGAGAAAGCAAGCCTTCAAGAAGAAAGGCAGTCTTCCACCTCTGAGCTGGTAAAAAATTGCTGCCAAGTCCGGACTGTTTGTGTTCATTTTTTCTTTTTTAATATGAGTCGAAATGTAGTTTGTTTTTTTTTTTCCCAATTCACCTGTAACAAATTGCAGCAGCTTTGGAAATTGAGGTCATTCTGGTTTGAAAGCCAACATGATAAATATCAATCATCTAAATAATGCATTGTGACCAAAATATATGTTTTCAAACTTCAAAACAGTTTCGTTATTAGTAAGAGACCACATTCTTAGCCAGAATCTCCCACTAAATCTAGCAAGTAAATATACATCTGTGAGAGATGGTCTGAAGTTTCCTTCATTTGCCTCATGGCTGTCACAAGGACCTGCAGACCCCTGCCAGGAGCTCTGGCCTGGCCGAGGTGGGTGTGGACACTTGCCAAGTGACTGTGAGCAGGTGCGCTCACTGTGCTTCCACAGAACACTCTTCCACAGGTTCTGACAAGTGGTGGCTTGTCCCTGCATGCCTGCACCTGCTTCACAAGACCAAGTGGTCTCTTCGCAATGGCCCATCAATCTTCCCCACCTTTTGGTCAGATGCCACTCGCTTTGGCTAAGGACTATATCAACCGTAACTTTCTAAGACGACTTCGGTGAACCCCCATGGATGACAGCAGATCTGTGTGGCTGGGCCATTGCGGACTTCATCTCAGCAGTGGTAGCTATATTCCCCTTCCCCTTTTTTTTCTTTCTATCTGTTATGTCATTTTTAGGCAATCAGGTGCAGGAGATTACTTTTAGAATAACAAGAAGGCATTTTACGAATCTATGAAGTTTTCTTTCTCTGATTCATGAGTGAACTAATTAAACAGAGTCATTTAATCTTGCTTAGAAGAGGATGTAATGATTCTAGGGTGAATGCTTGCAACCCACTCTGTCATTATCCCATTTGCTGTTGGCCCCTAATAAAGGTGCATTTTGTTGTTATTAAACACATATTAAACTGATGGTCCCCTGTCATTTGTCTTTTGGACTTTTGAGATGGGTTAATGGAACATCACGACACCCCGCATGAGTAAGTAAACACCTCTGCTGTTTACTTCTCACATTCTCTAGAGTACATGGGATTTTACAAGAGGCATCTCAGCAACAGATCTCAAAAAAGAAAAGGCAAATGTTTCTCTTGAAATTTTAGCTACTTTGAGGACTAGAGTAGGTCACAGGGAAGGTAAGGTGAGAATCCTATCTCAAAGAAAATGTTTCCTACAAGGTGAATTCAGAGGCTTTCATTTGTATTAGCTTCAGATGCTTTGCAAAGCACTGATATCCAGAAAAGGTGGCTACTCACTTTCTAAACAGCAGATCCTTCAAAAGTGAAGTGGATTCAATAATATAATGAGATAACTGGATGCATCCAAATGTAACTAGTCAATTCTGGAAAAAAACCCAAACAAACAACCTTCTCTCTTTTACTGTGAAATGGAGTTCCCCAAATCTGATGCCCTCATTCTTTGTATGTTGCTAAAACTAGTTAATATGAACATAAAAGAACAGCTGTTTCTCAAAGAATGCCCTTTCTTTAACCCTCAATTTGAGGCAAAGAAAACCAGCCTATGAAACTGTGTGGCATCTGCTCAGAGAATGAAACTTGGTCAGTGGTTTTTAAATCCATCAGAATTTTCAATCTAGCTTTAAAACTGTTACACAAAATGCACAAAAGGTCAGATTTTAAATTCAAAGAGTGGCTTTTGCACTGAGAAACACCCTGTATGAATAAACACAACACAAATGTTTTCCATATATGGTACCATGCTCCTGACTTGACCACGCACATGACTTCCCTCTGTGCACTGCCTAAACAACTGCTTGACTATAACCACCATTTCCCCTGTCACTCACTCCTCCTTCCCTGCTCTGGAAACGATAGAAACTTCTACCCATGCCTCACACAGAGGAAACATGCAAACCATTACAAAAAAAAGAAGATGAAAAAAAAAAAAGAGAGAGAGAGAATAGAGGCTGGTGTGTATTTGCTTTCACCTGTGTTTGAACCTGTGGCAGTTACCCACTATGGGTACCATCATGCCACCTAAAAGGTGTTGCAAGTACGAGTAGAAGCTTGGTAGCTTTCAGGAGACATATATATGTACATAAACTTCCACTCTCCTCATAATCAGGCAGGACACTATGGATAAAGAGGTGCTGAGAAGCAAAGAGGGCAACAAATGCACTGAAAAGTGCAGTGGCGTGCCCAAAACCTCAGCTCTAGATAAGGTGTCAGGTGTAATGAAATCTAATCAAAGTACATGGTACTTCCGACCACTTAGGAACACAACCTAAAACTTCAGGTACCTCACCAGAAGAGAGAAGAAGCCTTTGGAAAAATCTAGAGCTGGAAAAGAGACTAAACCTTGAACAACCCTTATAATCCCGGAGTTTCCAGGATTCATGTTTTGGCAACCACATTGATGGTACTGTGACACACACTTTTGCACAGCCACTCAAGAGGCTACGACCCTCTTGAGGCTATTAAAAGTGTCTGAAACCCCTGCTGATTCATAAAGGAGAGGTAACTCTTCTACTTTTCTAATTTTAACTACTTGTGAACTAGACTAATGATTCTTAAAAGTCCTTATTTCCACTGTTGTCCAAATAAATACTAATTACTTTCAATATGGAAACTGCTGGTTTTGTTGAAAATCAACTGGAATTTTATATTATTAACTTTGAGAAAACTGGGGTTTGGCTGACTGAGAATACCAAAAGCCTAACTCACAGACTACCTACCCAGTAATGAACCCAGCTGGATTAGTGTGTCTCTTACAATTCATGCTAATGGTCTCCAAAAGCTCTGAAGCCCCATGAAACTCATAATTCTGTGGCCTCACATAGAGAGAGGAGCCATCCAAACAGTGCTCCCAGCTGTGCTGCTGGACTGGATTTCCTGATGCTGCGGCTGCACCTTCCTTAAAGCGCCTTTAAGCAACTTGAATTAAGTGTAGGGCAAGGTCATGGTGATTTAGGCATCTCTGTTCCCCGCTCTTCTCCTGTGGCTGTAAGGACAGGATAAACTGTAGTGTAAAAACACAACAGCTGAAGCGTCTGCTAACTTAGTACCAGTAAACAGGTAGTTATCCTTTCTGCAGGATAACTACCAGGTTTTTCATGTTCATGGAGAGGACAAACAGTGACACACATCTTCTTCCTTTTTATCTGAAAAAAGCAAACCCACGTTCTGACTCATGCAGTAAGTGCCATTACCAGCACAGCTGGAGAAGACTGCAGGCAGTCATCTGGTTAACTAAGAGCACACACTTAACAGATTATTTTTCACATGTACCTGTCAAAACCCATAAGGATAAGTAGCCATCCTTTATCCTCAGAACTCACAAAATTCACTGAAAATCATGAGATGCCATGCCAAATCTATTCAAAGGTTCCTTTGATTTGCTTTTTAACTTGTAGGCTTACCCTTTAGCCACACACTTTCCTTGCGCACACACACACTGAAAGGGAAATAATCATTCCTTTAAAAGGAAAGCTGAAGGGTTTTGAGGATATAGCCACCTATTAGCATCACACATAGTCCACTCAGGGAACATTCATGCTGCCACATACCAATTTAGGCACTTCAAAACCAGGGGTTTTTTTTACTCAGTTATTTAAGTCAGGTCTGAGATTTGCTTCATCGAGGGAGTCAGTCATAAACCCTGGTACCCTGCGGGGGAAAATGTGCGTCAAGGACTGAAGTACTTTCTGTATTCATGCTCCATATTTTGATTTTATGTGTTATGACATGAGTCTGTAATGTCTTCATTACCTGCCAGCCCTCTATGGTGGATAGCTGCCAATGAGCTGCCCAAAACACTTGTAACAGTGCCTAGTGTTCTTGTCTTTTGTCTTTGGATACAATAATTTTTCTCTAGGTTTACAGATGACAATTGCCTGCACCATATTTCTAACACTGCACATGAGCTGGCAAAAATTACTGACCTATGGTGAGTCAATTCAACAGAGAAATATTTCTTTTCCCCTCTCCCTCACCCCCACAGTGAACCCTCCTCAATAATATGTGATGGAGCAAACTGCACTTACAATTGAAGTGGAAAATTTTTAAACCTAACTGCTATTAAGAAGTCCAAAGAAGAAGAATGGAGTTTATATGAACAAAGGCTGTTTTTAGAAACACAGCTAATCAGATTAATGACTGTTTTGGATGAAGCATTTATTCCCAATAAATAGTTAAATATTATGTGTCATGTGTACACATGTTGATTTTATATAATAGATTTTCTTTTTCTGGGGTATCAAAGTACTATTTGGAAAAATGGGTAACTCCAAATAAAATTATAGTTTTCTCCCTCCAGCAAAGTCTACCAGTTATTTTTACAAAATAGGACTTCTATCAAGTCAACCTTATAATTAGAATAATAAAAGCTCATTTGAAATCTAAAAACCACAAGCCTTTTCGTGACCAGAAAAGGCTTAATTAGCTACTTAGATTGCTAAAATAATTGTATGTAGCTCCAAGTATTTTTGCCACCCAAAAAGCAGAAATAGAAGACTTCCCACTTTCATGCTGAGCAAAGCAGCTCAGATATACAGACAACCTAAAAGGCTGAAGTAGCCAACAGCCTCAGTGGCAGTTTAACTGACAAAAGGCAGCATTAAACTAAGGACAACACAGCCAGTGACCATTAAAAAGGTTTGGGTTTTGTGGGTTTCCTTCCTTAAAAAAAAGTAAACCAAACAGAAATAAAACCAAAAACCAAACAACAAAACTTTGGATTTAATTGACCACAGGTGAGAACAGATTACTCCTGCAGGTCACAAAGCCACGTTGGCTGTTTTACAATCCTGCGCCCTCCAAGCATCAAAGCTGATCTGAACACAGCATTTGGAAGGAAGGAAAGGCTGCTGAAGGAAAGGTTACCTTGGAGGAACTGTGCTCCACTCCAAAGAGAGCAATCCTTCACTGGCAGGACTTTTAATATCAGGCACCGCCAAGAAATGCAAGAGACAGTGAAGCCTTTGGAAAGAAGAGAAAATGTTACAATCAGGAAAAAATAACCGTCTCAAAGTATTTTTTCTAAGTAGTGAACTTAATCCACTTGTATTCAAACACTGGGTCACTCACATATTTTCTCTCACATCTGAAGTTTTTTTCTCCCAAGTGAACTGAGAATAAAATAGCCCCAAAACCAACATCTGAACCGATTCAACAAGGATGCTACTGTAAACCTGGAGATAGGAAGCTCTGAATGTAAAGGCGAGTATAAACAATCTGAGCTCTTCACTGACATGTACAGCAGCTTGTACTTGTAAATATTTCTTCTGTTAAGCTCTTCAGGAATCAGTGCATGTCAGGGTTGATAGCAAATGTTCTTTAAATCATTTCCAGATACAGTCCTGTATGTCAGTGAGCAGGTTAATGCTTCTCCCACGAGGCACAGTGTGTACCTGTTGCTGTGGTGTACATCTGAACACCACCATGTTATGGCACTGGGAAACTTTAATAAAGCAGTTTTATCACAGCTACTGTTGAAACAGTATGGAATTGTGCTGCAATTTTCTAGGTTTTTGAATAGCAAACCCAGAAACATTTTAAGAAACATTTCACAAAGAAACACTTTGAGAAGTGGCCTTACATGAATCGCATATCACCCCCAAATCTAGACCTAAAGAAATCTGCAACATGGGATTATCTAACCCGGCACACCCTTTCTCCCCCACAAAAAAATCTGTGTCTGCAAAGTACAGCGTGGTCACTACACACCCAGATGAAAGGAGCCCCCACCTCTCGGGTGAGCGCGCAAGTAAGCAAACAAACACATGCGAAAAACTTTCTGTGTATTACGGAAACAACATTCAAACCCTCCCCACCCTTCCCAGCTGCAGCTTCTCAGCCCGTGCTGAAACCCGCTTCCCAATCCACGGGGTCAGGCGGCCAGCAGGGGAGAATTTACCTGTCCCAGCCTCACCAAAGAATGGGATTATGGCTGTAAAA